CCCGCCCCATAGCACCCACCCCATAACGTCACCCCATAGCGCCTGCCCCACAGCATCACCCCATAGTCTCACCCCATAGCATCACCCCAGAGTGCCCGCCCCATAGCATCACCCCATAGTGTCACCCCATAGTGTCACCCCATAGCATCACCCCATAGCGTCACCCCATAGTGTCACCCCATAGCGCCTCCTTCCTGCCCCATAGCACCTGCCCCATAGCGCCCCATAGCGCCCCTCACCGGGCGTGAACCTCCACTCGCTCTTGCTGTAGAAGGGCCGGTAGGACGAGATGACGATGGGGACCACGGGCACCTGGGGGGCAGGGGGCGTGAGGGGGGCCCTGCCCCATAGCGAGGGCCCCAGACCCACAGCGAGGGCCCCAGACCCACAGCGAGGACCCCAGCCCCATAGAGGGGTCCCCCCAAACCCACAGAGGTCCCGGGGGGGTCCCCACCCCACAGCGGCTCTCTGCCCCACAGGGGGATCCCAGCCCCACAGAAGGATCCCAGCCCCATAGACGGCTCCCCCCCCAGCCCCACAGGGGTCCCAGGGGGTCCCCAGCCCCACAGGGGGATCCCAGCCCCACAGAGGCCCCGGGGGGTTCCCTGCCCCACAGCAGCTCCCTGCCCCACAGGGGGATCCCAGCCCCATAGAGGGGTCCTCCCAATCCCATAGAGGTCTCTTGGGAGTTCCCTGCCCCACAGCACTTTCCCTGCCCCATAGGGGGATCCGAGCCCCATAGACGGCTCCCCACTCAGCCCCACAGAGGCCCCAGGGGGTTCCCTGCTCCACAGGGGGATCCCAGCCCCACAGAGGCCCCACAGCGGCTCCCTGCCCCATAGCGGCTCCCTGCCCCATAGCGGCTCCCTGCCCCACACCTGCGCCTGCACGGCCAGGTGGAAGGCCCCACGCTTGAAGGGCAGCATGGAGCCGCTGTGGTTGCGGGTGCCCTCGGGGAAGACCCACACGCGGATCTGTGGGGCGGGCGCGGCGCCGTGGGGCGACCCACGGCGAGGCCGGGGCTGCCCCACAGCGGGGACACGTGACCCGTGATGGGGACACGCGACCCACAGCAGCTCGC